ACCCCTGGCCCTGTCCAGCCACCTCCTGCCCCCGCCCACCCCCATGGTTCCACTGAGAGTGCTGGGCAGAGCATGCCCTTCCCGTTCCTGGAGGAGATCTTGCCCTGATGTGGCCGCCCCTCTGTCTCCTCCTCGCCCCCACAGCTGCCTGCCAGCCCCTGCACCTGCCATCCTGCAGCATCCGCCCGGATGCCTTGCCCCTGTGGCTCCAGTGGCTGCCTCAGCCCCAGCCTCGCTTGCGTCCCCGGAAGCGCCGACGCCCTCAGCCCCGGCGGGCCCTGGCATCCCCCTCTCTCCGTGCTGCCCGTGTCTCCCTGCACCAATGGGGCGGCTGTGGCTCCCACTGCCGCCTGCAGGCAGAGGCCCTGGTGGCCCTGGGTCGGTCCCCCCGTGCCCGCTGGGCTCCCCAGCAGGATTGGCACTGGGCCCGGCGCTATGGGCTGCCTTATGTGGTGCGTGTGGACCTCAGCCGCCTGGCCCCAGCCCCGCCAGCCACCCCTGCCCCTGCCGAGGCCCCAGGACCCATCCTGATCCCCAAGCAGGCCCTCGCCTTCGCCCCCTTCTCCCCGCCCAAGCGCCTGCGGCTGGTGGTCAGCCATGGCTCCATCGACCTGGATGTCGATGGAGGGCTGTGACAGCCAGATGGGGAGGCCCAGGCAGAGGGGTCTCCCCAGCTCCCCACCAGGACCTCCAGATGGAGCTCATGGACTTCGGGGGGTAACTGACCCTCCACCCAGCACAGCTCTGACCCTGGGAGGGGGCTGGCTTGGGCACTCCCAGGAACCTGACCCCTGACTGCTGACCCCTGAGCCACCACACCCCAGCAAGGAGCCCTGGCCATTTGCTGTGCTCCCCACCCCGCCCCAGCCTCAGGACTGCAGGAGCCCCTGCCCCAGCCCCCTCCCAGGGAGCGAAGCCATAAGGGGGTGGGGCCACCCTGGCATCTCCCCAGCAGCCCAGGGCTCAGGAGGAGGCAGACCTGGTCTGGGTGGGCCACCGGCCTGCCCTCACAGTGGGGCAGGGACAGGGCTGGTCTCAGCTGTCTGGGGCGGTTCGGGGGTGTCCGGCTCATCCTCGTGCCCCGTGGGTCTCAGGGAGGCCGAGTGCGACCTCGTCTTTCTCATGGTGCTATCCCTGGTGCTACGCCGCAGGGGTGTGTCGAGAGAGTGGAAGCACTTGAACTTTTTATTTCATTTTATTAAAGCTTTGTTATAAGCGGCACCTTGGAAGTCTGTGCTGGTTTGGGTTCTGGGGGGTGTCAGTCAGGACGGTGATGTGGGTCCTGAATGTTGTTATGGAGGGTAATGGGCTGGCAGGCCCTGGGTACTGGAGTCCCAGGGCAGGAGCTCTGTTGCCCTGTGGAAATGCTGCAGCTCAGGCCCTCAGGGCAAGAGGTGCACCGCCTTCCAGAGGTGGTCACAGGTTCAGCACAGGGAGCAACCTGCCCAAGTTGCCCCAGACTGGTCTTGAACCCCTGAGCTCAGGCAGTCCTCTCGCCTTCACCTCCCAAAGTACTGGGATGATGTGTGAGCCACCATGCCTGACTGACTTTGTTTACTTTCAAGTTTGTTCACGTGTATTGGACAAATGTGACGTGTTCCATTTCTATTGCAAAGGGAAAATTCTATTTCTTACAATGCAAATCCAGCTAAACCCTGTCTCCCCCCCCCCGTCCCCCGTGTTAAAAATGCGAGAGAGCCTGGCCTGAGCAACTTGGTGAGACCTCATCTCTATAACGAATCAAAAAATTAGCCAGTGTGGTAACGTGTGCCTGTAGTTCCAGCTACAGGGAAAGCTGAGGCGGAAGGATCACCTGAGGCTCTGGCTGTGAGTGTGCCACTGCACTCCAGTCTGGGCCACAGAGTGAGGCTCCGATTCAAAAAGAAAATGAAGCCGGGCTTGCTGGCTCAGCCTGTAATCCCGCGCCTTGGGAGGCCGAAGTGAGTGGATTGCCTGAGCCCACGGGTTAGAGACCCACCTGGGCAACTTGGCAAGACCTCATCTCCACAATAAATCAAAAAATTAGCCGGCGTGGTAGCATGCACCTGTAGTTCCAGCTACTTGGAAGGCTGAGCGGAAGGATCGCCAGAGCCCAGCAGGTCGAGGCTGCGGTGGCCGGGAGCGGCCACTGCACTCCAGTCTGGGCGACAGAGTGAGACTCCAACTCAAAAAGAAAGAAAGAAAGAAAATCAGAGAAGGCTATAGGGCATCAGAGGGGCATGAGGTCCCTACAGGATCTAGCCATGAAGGAGCCAGACATAGAGGACCATGGGCAGGGATGCTTTGCCTAGGGCTCATGGGTGGGAGCCGGGATTTCCCAGGACTCTCTGAACTCATTTATTTTTTGAGTTGGAGTCTTGCTCTGTGGCTCAGGCTGGAGTGCAGTGGCAATGATCACGGCTCACTGCAGCCTCCACCTCCTGGGCTTAGGTGATCCTCTCACCTCAGCCTCCCATGTAGCTGGGAATATAGGTGCGCGCCAATGAACTCTTCTTTTAGATGGCGTGAGTAGGTATTCACATGCACATTTCTTTCGGTAGGTTCAGAGCCTTTCTCAAATTTTCAAAAATGTCTGCTGTCCCCCAAAAGGTTAAAACCCAATGGTAGCCGGGCTTGGTGGTTCAGCCTGTAATCCCGTGCCTTGGGAGGCTGAGGTGAGTGGATTACCTGAGCCCGCGGGTTTGAGACCTGCCTGGGCAATGTGGCGAGACCTCATCTCTACAATAAATCAAAAAATTAGCCAGGCGTGGTAGTGCGCACCTGTAGTTCCAGCTACTTGGAAGGCTGAGGCGGAAGGATCGCCGGCGCCCAGCAGGTCGAGGCTGCAGTGGCCAGGAGTGGCCGCTGCACTCCAGTCTGGGCGACAGAGTGAGACTCCAACTCAAAAAAAAAAACAAAAAAACAACAACTCAATGGTTAGAGTGTTAAAAACTTGCTGTGGGCTTTGCAGTCTCAGCACTGACAGTCGTGAACTGAGCTTTCTGTGGGGTCATCCTGTATGTCACGGGTGTCAGGCCATCTCCCCAGTCTCCACATGCTACATGCTGAGAGCAACTCCCACCCCAGGTGTGACAACCACATATGTCTCCAGGCACTGCCCGATGTCCCCCTGGAGGCCACAGTCAGCCTCGGACTTGGGCTGGGGTCCAGCGGCTAGAGCAGGATGGACAACAATGATCATTCCCGGGCATGTCGGCCATGGATGGTCGGGACGGCTGGAGGATCCTGGGTGCTACCAGGCTCTCCCAGTCCAGACGAGAGCAGTCTGGGGGAGGGGGTGCATCTGCCTAGGTCCCTCTGCCATGCGGGGCACAGTCCACCAGCTGCCTGGGTTTCCACCAGGACCCGGGGTCTGACAGGGAAGTGTGAGGCGTTCACGCAGGCACCAGCCACCTGGCGGCCCCGGGGACGTCCCTGAGCTTGACATCCATGATGCCTCAAGTCACCAGAGAGGAGGAGACTTCAGTGAGGGGAACTTCTGATCAGTGCTTAGGCCCCAGAACCCTGTCACGGACATGGGGGCCAGAGCAGGGGACACTGAGAAGGACTTGGACCCTGGTGGTCGTAGGCGAAGGTGGAAGGGAATTGAGCGAAATAGAAAGTAATAGCTGGCGCAGACGCTGGCGCTGGCGCTGGCTTGTCCTATGCTGGCCCCAGGACTGCTCTCTCAGATTTGGGCAGTGAACAGCCAAGGACACCCCACCCCAACCCCATCTCTCCCCTCCAGTGTGCTGTGACCCTTTATGCTGCTCAGGGGTCAACCAGGTGCCTCCAGGTACTCCCAGACTGGCTGATGGGCCATCCCCGGTGTCTGTACCGTCAGTCAGTCCCACGGTCCAGCACAACACCGGGCATCAGGACTGGATCAACATGCTGATGAGTGACTTGAATTGCTTCCATGCCGAGAGCACCCCTCGGGGCCTCGCGGGTGCTGCTGTCACTGCTCTAAGTGTCCTTGCAGCTTCCCAACGGCTGTGGCATGTGGGCATTTTCGCGCGTCTCACTTGAAGAGACCACAGTGCAGAGGGCCTGTGAGCCATCCTAGGCCATCCCAGGGCTGGATCCGATCCATCTCCCAAACTGCCTGTGGGCCCAGGGAATGAGGGGCCCAGGGACAGAGTGGGCAGCAGTGGCTTTGTGGGGGGCCAGGAAGGAATGGAGGGGTGGGGAGGAGGGCCGGTGGGCGAAGGGCAGTTTGCGGTCTGGCTCTGTCCGTCTGTGGGTTGGGAGGACAGGTGGGTTCTGGGGAAGGGGTTGCAGAGGGCCAGAAAGAGGATAATGGTTGGATGGAGGGGTGGGCTGAAGGAAGAGGAAGGAGAGGAAGAAGAGAAGAGGAAGAAGAACAGCAGGGGTGCAGGTGTTTCGGGGTGGGAGTGGGAACAGGCTGATGGCCTTGGTCCTCTGACCTGGCCTCAGGGTCAAGGGAGGTGGCCACTCTGGACACAGGCGGGAGAGTTGGCCTAGGGGCAAGGAGGAGGTGAGGCAGTGCTGGCCGCAGGGAGGCTGGGAGTGTAAGAATGTGCTGGAATAAAAACCGGACACGGCGACTCACACCTGTACTCCCACCACTCAGGGAGGCTGAGACGAGAGGATCCCTTGAGCCCAGGAATTCAAGACCAGCCTGAGCAGCATAGCGAGACCTGGTTTCTACAATAAACAAAAAAAAGTAGCCGAGCATGGTGGTGTGTGCCTGTAGTCCCAGCTACTCAAGAGGCTGAGGAGGAAGGAGTGTGTGAGCCCAGGGGGTCAAGGCTGTAGTAGCCCTGATCATGCCACTGTACTCCGGCCTGGATGACAGAACAAGATCCTGACTCAAAAAAAAAAAAGAATGTGTTGGAAGCCAGGAAGTGAAGATGGCAGGAAGGACCATGGCCCAAGAGGAGAAGGAGGAAGGCTGGGTGAGGGAATGAAGGTGGGCTCTGGGGGCGGGAGGTTGGCGTGGCTGCGCAGAGTAGTGCTCAGGACGCTCCTGGTATGTCAACCCAGCACCGTGCCTCGGGTGGGTCCTGCCTACAGTGCCGCCAGCTTTTCTTCCCACAGCTGCCCCTGTGCAGGCATCACCCAGGGCTCTGGGGCATTCGCTGGAGGGCCCGCCAGTAGCTGCACCCTCACCCATGCCTCCCCCTTGGGTCGTGGTCAGAGACGGGGACCTGGGAGGCCAAGGCCTAGGTAGAGCTGTCCCTGGGTGTGGCCCGTCTGGGATGTGTAGCGTGGCAGGCGGGCAGTGGACAGGTCATCACGGGGCGGGGAGCGGGACTGAGCTGTCCTCTGAGATCACCTGGCCCCTCCTGCCCCACCTCTCCTGATAATGGGACTCTGAGCCATCTCAGTTTACAGCAGGGGAAACTGAGGGTCACACAGGTCAAGTGGCTCGTCCAGGATCAGCCAGCAAGCGGTCATAGTCACCTTTGAGCCTCAGGTTGAACAGGGCCTCACAAGACACTTCAGCCAGAGACTAGGTCGCCCCCTTCTGAGAGCTCCCCCAGAAGGCTAGTGGCTCAGGCAGTGGGGCAGCGCATCTGGAAGACTGTCGCCCCAGGCCTCTGCAGGGCTAGGCTAGACCCCGGGCTCTGTCGAGGGTCTTTCCTCAGCCTGGCAGAGGCAGAATTTTCCAGAGCCTCTGGAATAGGTCGCA